CAGCAGTATTAAGCCCTGTCTTCAGGGAAAACCTTTTCAGCTATTCAGATGGGAATGACTGACTAGCTGGTCTGTTTTGAGGCTCAACCTTCTCAACCTTGCAGGTTCCATGACTTCCTTTATAGTAGAAGGAATCCCCATCTTTTTTTCTGCTCTGTAATTTCTAACAAAACTCAACATTGTGTGCAGATTTTTGAAGAACATACATAATCAAGAGTTGTCTAGAATAGACAGGCAATTAGAGAACTGGCAAAGCAGACCCAAAGTGTGTGGAAGACACTCAAGTTACCATTATGCTTTTTTACTATGTCCTAACAGTGTGGTCCTGAACAAGTACTTGCAGGTCCCTCATTGGTAAAATGATGGTGATCAGCCCATCTTCCTTACAGCCAGCTATTTCCATGCAGTGGTTAGAAGCAGAAGCCCTAGAGGGAGAGGTATAGATTGCCTGTGTGATGACCTCACGTTCCCTACTCTTGACTACAACCAAGTTTCCTTTTTATTGGGAAAGAATAATAGTAATAGCCACGTCAAGTGGTTTAATGAGGGCTAAATGAGGCGTAGATGTAAGGCTGTCCATACAGTCTGTGTGTAGTGATGGTTTAATAAATGCAAGTAGTTATTATTTCGGCATGCTCTTTCTTTTTTTAGGTTTTTAATATAGGGCGCACATGCTCGCCAGAAAGAGACAGAGACAGTGAGAGAAGAAGTGAGAAGTCACCCCCAGGGGGGATGACCATACCACAATCCCTTTTCCTCCAGGGATTTTGAGCATGCACACACACGCCCAGTGTGATTTTTAAGCCACCAGGTCCAGGACTCAAACCACAGTCGGCCACCTGGGAGTCTAGCACCTTCACCACCACATCACCTGCTGGCCCCACAGTCTGCTTTTTATGAGTTGAATGTTCCCAAGAAATTGCTACAGGTGAGAGCAGCTTTGCCCTGGAAGACAGCCTAGGGCAATAGCAGTCAATATGATACTTAATAATATGTTTAAAGGCTTTTAAGCAATGACAGAATGATAAAGATAGAATGACAAGACTGAGTCCCACAGGGGCCAGGTGTGCAAGATTAGAGAAAGAGATGTGGTATGTAGGTGGATGTCCCCTCAGCCATGGTGGGTGGGAGGGCATGACCGGTAGAGGGCCAGAGTGGGATGCTCTGAAGCATGGCCCTCTAGCTAGGATCCAA